ATACAACTATATCAATAATGCACTTCTTCAGATATTATAGCAAGTGGGAATTATTGTTATCATATAAATTATTTATGACTGTTACGTAAGGATGTTAGGATATTTTAGCATGAGAGTTATGCTCAAGATCCTTGTAACACCACAGGAAAGCAAGAGACAACTCTGTGTTTATTTAAAGTAGAACGGCAAACAGTATTATCAACCTAAGGGCTTGCTATCAGTGGGAACCTTTAGGCAATGCATGACTTTATCTGACAAAACACATCTATGATGTGACCTTATGGTTTTTTTCACTGTAAAAATGCATGTCTTGTTCTCCACTATCACTTTGGAAGTTATTCCATTAAAATGTGGGAATAATCAACTTTTGTAGCCAGGTCAGCATACGCTTGTGTACATTACTCATGGATAAAGTAGATAAAGTTGTTTGCCAAGGGTTGCGGTGTGACCTATTCCCTCTGCCCCACACTGTGTTCTTGGCCTTACAAACCTGGCTTGCCATCCTTCTTGAGTACAGGAGCCAGTTAAGAGAGAAAAATTAAAAGGGAAAAAAGAAGAAAACCTCACAGTAAAAAAAAACAAAACCAAAAAAAACCCTAAACCAACCCAAAAAAACAACAACAAAAAAACCCGGCATAACCCAAAAGTCACTACTGAAAATACAAAAAAATTAATATCTTTAAATGTGTCAGCACTAAACTTTGGAACTAAACCAATAAGCCAAGGAAACAGAGAGGGGGAGGATAGAATAGGTGGACAATTTGCTGTGGCAGAGTCTGTGGCATTACTTAAGGCTACAAGATACCCTTTCACCTGCAGTATATACCTGCTTGATTTGGCACCGCTGAGATACAGAAAAACAACTTTTTAAGTAAATTTTTATCTGTGGCACACAGTCTTTCTCTGGGAAAGCAGCTCCCAGAGTTGTGTGTTATCCCGCACAGCTGGACATCTTCTACATCTTGTACAGGCTTTGTTTTAGTTGGCTTGGCTGTATCTGCATTATTCTGCCTTTGTCATCCATCTAATTGCACACAGCCCATTAGAATCCAGAGTAGGGAAGCAGGAGTGGAAAAAATATGGGAAATTAGTCACCAGTGGTGCATAGTTCTGTGCTAACAGCTTAGCTGTTGCCTGTCTTGCAACGCAAAATATGCCCGCAAGGCTGAAAGCCCCACCTGGGAAACCTTTCTCATCCTGCTTCTGCCCTTGGAGTTGAGACCAGAGCCAATCACTAGGCTGTTGCCATCTCTATTCCCGAGAGAAGAAACAGCTGGAAGTTGCTCAAGACCGTTTGTCCATCCTCTGAGGCTCTGGAGTGGCCATGCCAGTGATCTGCCTTGTCTCCAGCAAGAATCCAAGCCATCCTGTTGCAGATAGCTCCTTAAAGATGGTTAAAACCTCTTTAATTTGGGGATTTCAGAGCTTACAGTTGTTTGACCATTCACCCTACAAGTTATCTGATGCTACTTCTGGGGAAAAAGAATTATTATCTTCCTCAAGTGACATGCTGGACTCTGTGACAACACTCATGTGTCCCATGCCTTTCCTTCTTGCTGTCATTGTTTAGATATTCCTGCCATTTAGAGACAAAGATAATTTTATTCATGAGGGGGAGACTTGTCAGAAACACCATGAGGAAATCTGTCAGGGAGCTACTCTGACAACTCTTCAGAAGAGTGTTAACTCCATCTTCATGACCAGATCACAATAGATCAGTTGTCATTATATTAAAGATCCCAGAAAGCAGGAGTCATTACTCATTTGAGCTGACTTTCACAGCAGTAAGCCAGAGAGCTGTATCCAGAGTGCTAAACATATTGTACACTAAGGGATTCTGGTTTACTTTGTCTTTGTTTTGTTGTGATTTGGTGTTTTGTGGGGTTTTTTTTGTTTTTTTTTTTTTAATTCATCAACTCCAGGAAGACTGAGACCATTTATTTTGCCACGCTCCCAAAAATGTGCAGTTAGGTGAATTTGGCCCTGCTTCTGGCTGGCTACTGGACAATAAAGACCTCTTGGCCTCTTGCCAAACCCCAGTCATCTCATTTTTAATCCTGAATCCCTGCTGCCTGCGTATCGTCTAGCCCAAATAAAAACTATGCATCATTCCCAGTCTGATACCTTCTTTTCCTCGAAAGCCAGAGATTTTTCCTCCCACCCTAGATCTGGAAGCAGCAGTGGTATAATTTTCTTCCAGAAAGGCACATCATCTCTTTTTCTGTAAAAAAGAACTGGCTATTAGAACATTCAAGGACATGGACATATTTCAAGCGTTGCATCTCCCTTGTAGTCTCCAGGGACTTGGGAGATGATCTGAGATGAGAAAAGCCGGGTTTTCCTCTCTTTCCTAGGTTGTCATCAGGTAATGGCTGCTGCAAAGGTTCAGAAGAGCTGGGAAGCAGCCAGGAGGGAGGAACACCACCCCATTATGATGCTGACACTGGAGTCAGAGGTGACAGTGCTCTGGGCAAGTCTCCAGGCCTTGCTGGCACAGGAGAGCTGTTGTTAGAAAGACAGACCATTAGCAGCCTGAGTCAGACTCTCCTAATACAACTTGACTATTCCAGTGTGAAAGTCCCAACATAGCTGAGCTCTTATTCAGATTTCTCGGTAATAACCACCCCAAAACATAACATTTCTCCTCCCAAGTTGTACAGGAGTCTGTGGAGCGTCTTTGTCCCCAGAGGAAACAGAAAAACTTGCAGACAAACTGTGCTGGCTGTATTCGCTTTCCTGCTTCTCCTCCTCCTATGGAAACTGTTGGTAACACTTTCTATGGTGCCTTGCCTCACATCACCTCTCTCCTTGGATGCTCTCCTCTGAAAGGGGGAAGATGGGTTACTGGAGCAGTCCTAAGCCTCTGGGAAGAAGGGCAGTGGGAAAGAACACCATTTATATGTGGCTGCAGGGCATCTGCTCTGCAGCAATGATTTTTTACTAGGCAGGAAGGCCACTCATCCTGATAAAACACTTTTCAGTGCTCCAGCTTGTTAATTCTTGAGGAAGCTGGGGCCTTGTCCTGCACAGGCAATAGCAATGCTCCTGACACAGCACCTCTTGATAAAGAGCTATACCTTTGGGACACCTGCTTTTCCTTAAGCAGATTTGGACAAAGAAAGATTGTCTTTGCAATTATCACTCCTGAATGTGTTTGCATAACTACAAAAAGCTACGTTACCCTATGGTCTCTTCTGCTACTTGGTACGGTTAGTGTGGACAAGGAGTGAAATCCAGTTGAGGCTGCAGTATAGGCAAATATATCATTCATCTGCAGACCTGTCAACAAGGCTCAGAAGCCTGGGACTGTCTGGAGATACTTATGAGCTACAAATCTGAAAATCTCCCTTCACTCCCTGCAGCTGTGAACACACCACAGACTCCTGCAGTGCTGTGGACAGGCATCATCACCTAAACCTCATCACCTAAACCTTGTCTGTCAGCCCATCTCCATCCCAGTCCTCCCCTCCTTCAGTCATCCACATCTCTCTAGCTGATTATATTTTTCCATGCTTTTCTGTGATTTTGTCTGGCCAATCCATATTCATCCCCAGGGATGCCAGCAGAAAACTGCTGCTGGACTTCAGCGGCCTCTGCTTTTGGGAGCTTATCCCAAATGGTTTTTGCTGAATTTAGAGAGAGCTGGACCGAACCTCAGAGCCTGGAATCACATTTCTAAGCAGTTACAGTGACTTGCTGAATGCACATGGGGACTTGCAAAGTCTTTCTTCGCAACCTGTTACGCAGACTGATGTTTCCCCAGTGAGCTGGTGGTACATTGCTGGTTTCAATCGATGTCTCAGTGGCCAAGGACAGCTGCACCAACAGAATCACTGAGCTTGCTGAATCAATTTTGCAAACTTTGCATGAGTTGAGAGGTAAGAGATACCAAAAGATGTGTCCCACTTTTGGACACATCTGCTGACTGCCACATGAGATGTGCATTTCCCAGAGTTTTCCCTGTAAAACCCACAGAGACTCAGAGTTGGGAGCGAGCACCTTCTCCAGCTGATTGTCATAAGTTTAATAATTTCACAGAGCAACAGCTGCTGTAGTGACCTAGCAGAGAGAAGGAAAGCAGGAAGTCTGGGGTGAGGAAAAGAGGAGCCAGACAGTTAAATACAGGTTTGAGTGAAAAGTGAGATCAAAATATCAGAGATTAAATAGTGACAAGTATGAAAAAACACATGAGGAAAAACAAGGCTGAGATGATGAAAAAAATGGGCAGGAGAGGATCAGATTTTACATTTGAAAATAAACTGGACTTCCTTATTCTGCTCAGAAGAGGAACTCATACTCAAAAGTTAGAATAAAATGCAAATAGAAAATGTCTAAAATATCTATTTTAGAATTATGCTGACACTTTTCATATAAATAGTGTTGTTTGGTACTGTAATGGTTTTTCTGATTTGTGAGTGTGATTCACTGCATCCCAGACTGTGAGGAGCTTTGTATGCTGTTGCTTGGATAAGCTGAGCCCATGGAGAAAAATTAAATAATGAAAAAAAAAACACCAGCATTGGGACACAGCTCTTGAACAACTCACAGGAAAACACGGAATGTTTGTGTGGAGTCTTTTATGGATGACGACATTCATCCGTCAGTTATACAATTCTGTAAATATATTTACACAACTCCATCTTCCTGACTGTGGGGTATATAGGAGAGAGATATATATATACTCACTATATACACACACACACACACACATATATATATATATATATATATATATATGAGAGAGATATATATACATACATACAGCCTCTGCCTGAATGGGGTGGGCACAGACATACTTGCAGCTAAGTAAATAATTATTTACAACTGGTTTACCCACCATTCTACTGCATAGGTTGAAAATGACTGCAGACCTAATGACACTGCAGACCTAATGTATAAAGTAGCTGATGGTTTTTATGGCATTGATTCCAGCCATTTTGTAAAAGGAAAACTAATTCTTTGGGTGTGTGTTTTCCTTTGTTCTTCTTCTTGAATCCCAGCAGAAAACGGACCCCGTCTACTTGTCGTAGCAGAACAAGCCAAAATCTTCTCTCACCGGGGTGGCAACATCACACTGCCATGTAAATTCTACCACGAACACACATCAACAGCTGGCTCAGGAACCCACAAAATCCGGGTCAAGTGGACCAAACTCACCTACGATTACCTCAAGGAACTGGATGTTTTCGTGGCCATGGGGCACCACAGGAAGAGCTATGGGAGTTACCAGGGGAGGGTGTTCCTGAGGGAGAGCAGCGAGAATGACGCCTCCCTCGTAATCACAAACATAATGCTGGAGGACTACGGGAGGTACAAGTGTGAGGTGATTGAGGGACTGGAGGATGACACAGCAGTGGTGACTCTGAACTTGGAAGGTAGGTACTGCCTGAATTATACTCTAAGTCAGATTTAGGTAGTGTTAAATACCTGATTTTTTTTTTTTTTTCTCCTTGTATTGCTAATATTGTATTATCAGTGATAACAGCAAGCTGAGGAGCAGAATTCATTGTGCTCTGGGGAATCTTGGCCTGACAGCCCATGACAACAATCATAAATTAGAAGAACATTAGGCTTGCTGTAACTTATGCAAGCCTACAGCATATTCAGCTACCAGTGAGACCTGGTGTAAGAGTAGCCAAAAAAGAATGAGCAAACACAGTATGAAGAACTTCACATTTTTTTAATTTGCTCCTGTCATTTTGTAGAAGTAACTGGGTCTTTTTACCTAGGCAAAATTACATTAAATTTTCCCCTAATGGTAATTTTATAAAACTTCAGGACATTTTAGATTATGAAGCAAATACAAATCTTTCTTGCAAAGATGAAAAAGTAGTTACCCAGAGACAATGCTTTTGGTTTTTTCCATCCTTATAATGGTGTAAAATAGATCTGTGTTGTCTGTCAAGACGCTTCCTACATGTCGTCTCTAGTTATTTCCCTCAGCAATATTCTTGAAAACTGTAGAGCACAAAGCATTTGAAAAATTAGAGAAATAGGTTCAAAGAGGACCAAAAATTCAGCTTGCCTTCCTTCTTGTGAAATTCAGATAAATTCTATGAGTTTCAATGTATGTAAATGAGTGTTTGACCTTTTTTTTCCCCCAAAGCACTGCACTGAACACAGGAGTAAACTAAACGTTTCGTGAATATTACTTATACTTACCAGCAAGTGTGTGCCAGAGGGATCCTTATACAAAAGGAAAGGAAAGCTTGGTACAAATGCAAATGTACACACAAGAAATCTGTATCTGAAAGGCAATATTTGATTGATTCTAGAGTAAGAAAGCAATGAGGAATCTTTTCTATACTGCATAGAGTAAGGCCACTGAAAAAAAAAAAAAAAGGAGATTTTCTACCCTTTTTACTGTTACTGTTTTGTAATACAGCACCAGCCCATTGGATACAAGGTCAGGGTCCCTCCTCCAAAATATGAAATTCATAAGGATAGGAGGAATCATATTTCTTCAGCCAAGTATGTCCCAATCTGTGCTCAAAGGAAAATTTATGTATTTTGACTAGTGTCTGGCTAACATAAGATTTAAAAGATTTTTGTCAGACATGGGAAAGATGTGAGACATTCCTTTCTGACATTATGGAATGATGTTTCATAAACTGTCAGGAACATCTCCTTTGCAAATCCTCATGGTAAAACTTAACCTTTCAAGTGAGGTAAGAGCAGGGACAGTGTCAGTCCTGCTTATGTCAACTAAATCCAGTGATTCTGGGTCTATGATACACTTCAATTTCCTAATAAAATTATTAGAATTAAAATGTACTAATATTACAATGGAGATATATATAGCTGAAGGGATATATCCCTTTGTTTGCAAGGGACTGTGCTTATTTTTTTAACTTATCTGGACCTTTACATAGTGATGGTATCAAATGCATTAACTTAATGTATTTGAGCAAAACAGAGCAGATCAAAGGAGGGGGCAAATCAGTATTTGAACAAAAATTAAAACATATATCAGCCCATTCCAGCATTCTACGTGTCTGCTGTAAATAAGCAGGTTAATCTCACAGTGGGAAGGATTTGCATCAATAGCCTGATGTCCTGAGATGGTGGCCTTAAGGATGTTAATTGGCAGCAAGACAAAGCCATTTACATACAGGAATGCCCACTAACAGTGCAGAGCATGGCTCTCATGTGAGGTCCCTGAACAAGCAGCATTGCTTTGGCTTGGTGGAAGCATGGTCGTGTATCAATATGGAGATTGTTGACCTCAACCTCAATAGACCTTTTTTCTTCTCCCACTGTGATGGTGCTTTATTCTTACTAGACTGGAAGGCCTTCTGGGATTGTCATTAAATTAACTGTTCATAATAACTAGGTACATTTAGCTTTGAAATTAGATTTAGTCTGTGTTTGTTACATTTTTGTGGTATGTTTTCTTCACTGTTATTTAATGCAGAATTTAATGCACACTAGTGAGGCAGTGCTGCCTACCAGCAAAAGCTCAGAACTAGAATTCACTGCAGTTTTACACAACCACCAGCTTTAAGAACAATTCAGTCAGGTCAGGATTATCATCTTGTTTATAGCCTGAAGTACAAGGACTGATCAAGGTTTTGCTGGGCCCAAGAGCTGGAAGTGTCAGGTAGTACAGAAAGCAGAACATTTTCTGTATTGACCTCCTCACCAAAACCATTTTCTCTCTGAAGTGGTCTTACTCTTCTCCTGCATATAAAAAAAATGTATCATGAGTTTTACACTCTCTGTTAAATATTCTGAAAGTCAAAAACTTCACAAATTAAAAGGTCTCCATGGGCAGGCAGATAATCCTGTCAAGAGTCATAAGCAAAGAAAGAATTCTCAGCTTACATTAAATTTCCTTTATGGTGGTGTTTTACTGTTCTACACTAAATTTTCTTAATGTTAATGCTTTACTAGTTTATTTTCTTGTGAATGCTTGGCACTGTAATGAATCTCACTGCATCAGAGTGGTGTGTTTGGCTTCCCAGGCACGTGAGGGCTCCAGCACTGGCCCTCAGGTGTATTACTCAGGCATAGGTTGAGTGTATTATTCCTTCATGAGATCCGTGGGAGAGGTGAAAAAGAAAGTGGTACAGTGCTAAACTGCCAAAGACAAATTTTTATTCTATTAGAAGTTTTTTAATAGTTTCTGTCTTTAGAGAGAAGTGATTACTGAACACATCAACTTTGCAATACAGGCTGTAAAATAATTACTTTTGACATCCAACACTAACAGAAATATGAAGATCTAGATAAAGCTATTAAAAACCTCTGGTCTTCAGCTGGCTATAAGCAAAGGGGAATTCAAAGCTGAAACCAATATGAAACCAACTCCATGCTCTCAAGAGCAGGAAAAATCAGATTTAGCCTAATGCTGTATGTCATATTTCTTTCTTCTGTGTATTGCTGTTACATTCATACACAAAAAACATCCTCTCTGGGATAATCTGTTCTACTCTGTTGAAAAACTGGTTTTATGGGACACACTTTGTTGATCCCTCGAACAGAGCAAAAAGTCTTGTAAAAGCCAACAGGGGGTTGTCAAGAGTAAGTCATGACAGACCAAAGTAATTCCTTCCGTGACAGGGTAACAAGTCCTAGCAGACACATCTGTGTTTGCACGTGCTGTGGGAAACGGTCCTTGAAAGATGTAGGAGAAATAAAATTTAAAAAAATTATCAGGAAATGATGACCCAAAAGGAAAATGCTGAAAAAATTAGGGCTAATATTAGCCCAAGAAGAGCAAGGGAAGAAAACAGTCCTCAAATTTTGATAAAGGCTGTAGAAACATAAGTGAATAATACACCTTAGGCCAGACAAGTCTAATTCCTATGTTTTTATATGTCAGAAATAAGCAACCCCACTGACAGCATGGTTATGGGATGCTGCGGGCTGCAGGGACACTATTTCAACCCTCAGTTTTGTTTTTAGGGAGGATTGATACCTGCTGACAGCTGGCAGCCCACCCTGTATCTGAGTAATCAGACATCTGACAGTCCTGACAGGCAAGAAAATGGAGGCAGAGTTTCTGTGAGAGACTTAACAGGTTTTACAGAATTTTAGAAATCCAGCATGGAAACATTTTGCCATCGAGTGCATGATCCTGCCAGCATAAAACTGTACCCTACAGTATAGTATATAGCAAACCCTACTGTTACCTCTTGTTTACACTGGCTACAAGAAAACTTACTTTTCTGTTCAGGCTAGAACTCAAGGAAACCCATTTCTTTACCCTGGCTCTGGAAGAACCTTCCCACCCCACCCCCCTCCCCCAATATGGGTCAACAGAAATTTGTGTTATTTTGTCCTGCATGTCAATACTTTTAAAACTGCCAATTGTGTGTGGTGCTGGCTTAATAGACACCTATAAATTGTTACAGGAGTTGAACTTTCTAAGGTTATTTTCTCACCTTGCTGTCTTGTGTAAATGTTATAGCTCCTTGCACCAACAATATGTCTGAAGCAACTGAGTAATTGCACCAAATTTTAGGGGTTACCTGCTTACAAGACTTTGACTTACAGAGAACATGCAAACATATTACTCAAAAACCACAGTAACTAGAGCAAAGTTGTGGATTTGTGCACTTGAATGTAAGGCATTCATGGAAATACAGGCATTCCTATGGGGAGGATAACCTGTACACTCAGTTCTTATGTTCTGATTTGGTTGAAATCCTAATTTCCACTACAGTATTCTGGACTACAGTTACTTCGCCATAGGCGCCTCCAGCAAGCCTCATCCACCCCTCCTTTTTCACTAACAGATTTATTCTCCTTTGAGTTGATATGTCTCAAGTTCTTCCTCTCTCTTTTTGGAGCCAAAGAGGTCTTTCCCTAGAGGTAGGACCCATTCCAGAGCACCAGGGGTTTGGGAGAGAAGCTTATATTGTAGATTAGCATCCCCATGCAGGCTCCACGTGTCGCTCAGCTGCTTCCTCAGGGCAGGGAGAGGAATCACAAAGGTCAGGTTAAGGCTCCTCAGCTCCCTCTTCCCAAGAACTAACCAGATTTCAACCTTCTGGGGCTGGAAGTTTTTATCTTCCTCCATTTTTTAAACTGAGTTTGTTAGCATTTGGACATGGGTGTTTTGTCTAGTGGCAGAACACAGGGCTGGAGTCAGGAGTTTAGATTCAGTCTGTACTTTTGGCAACAGTAACAAGCCGTGGAACAGCTTTTGTCCGCTCAGTAACAGGTGGTATGGATTATCCCTTGACGGGTTTGCAAGATCCAAGACTGAACAAGGCGCTCTGTAGTTAACTAAAGTTCAGCACTGATAAAATGTAAGGAAGGAAAGATGAACAGTAAGATCTAACTATGAATTTCAGCTAAGTTTGATAGCGGAATGAAGGGGAAAAAAATTAACAAAAAGGCAAGATCATGCAAAGCTGCACAAAACACACACACAGTCAATTTTCCTCTGCAGAATCGCCCATGGCCACCCCTGACCGCAGGGTGAAATTAATGCTAATCAGTTGCAGGCTTGTACTGCAGATGAACTCGAACAAAAAATGGGTTTCTATGCAGTCTACTCAAATATAACCCAAAGCTAATATTACAGTTTAGTGCATATTTATGTTATGAAAACATCATGTCCCAAACTGTCAAACCCAGATTTGTAACACATTTACATATATACTTAACCCCTTTTAAAGAGTGGTTTGGGAAACCTTAAGGAATCAAATATGTTTAAATAGTTTTAAATTAATTCTTGCTCAGTTTTTAGAGATATGCAAGCTTATATCTTGATTAAAAATTACTCACCTCTGCTTATTTTAGGGGGTTTTTTTACATGTATATGCAAATCAGACACATGTACTGTACAAGGAATTGGTTGTCTGGGGAAATGTGGTTCTGGAAAAATAATAAGTATTGGAGTTCTAATAAAATAATAAAGCTTTGATTCCTATGACATTTGCTAAATTTTTATTATAGCCAGTGATATTTATATCCACTAGCACTTGGGAAGAGTGAATAAATTTTTTTATAGAGATGAAGGAAAAACAGAGATCCAGAAAAATATGAAACATCTTCAGCTTCTTGTTTATGAAGCTACAGTTTACACACATGCTGTGTTACATTACATTCATGCTTTATGGCTCAGAACAGCCCATAAGTGAAACACCTTTTAACAAAGGATTTACGAAAGGAAGGAGGTGAAGCAGACTCTCTAGCTAATTGCTGCAGGAGAGCAAAATATTGTTTATTATTACCCTGCCAAGTTTACATTTGCATGCTTTATTTTCTTGGACCAAGTTCCTGAGGTTTAGTAATAACAAAGATTTTTATCAAAAATAACACTTCTTGGACGATAGAGGGGCGAGGGAGAGAAGGGAAAGAAAGAGGACTTTAAGATACTGGTGGAATAGACACAGAGATGGGTTTGAATGTTTGAAAAGGAGAGTGATTTCATCCCATGGTGACAGTCCTGCATGACCACAGTGTAATTTCTCTGTTCTAGTTCTCACTGCCCCAAGGACAAGGAAATTGTCATAGGCAGGAGGATTCATCAGCAGGGAGAAAGTAAAAATAAAGATTGATGTTTATACCAGTGCAAAGTTTTTGGCTCGTGTGTTGCCTTGTCATCAGTCCCTCTGCTTCCTACAACACTCAGTTCCATATAGAGGTTTGAAGATAAGCAATTCATAGCTGGGTCTTCTCTTGACACCATTTTATTTTAGTGTATTCAGAGACTGGGCTAAAGCCAACTGTAAAATTTAGATCTGGATTAAGCTTCTAAACCCTGCAAAGGATTAGGGTGGTCTTATCCAAACCTTCATTTCAAGTCTCTCTCTTTTATCAAAACCACTTGGGGAGGTGGTTCCTCAGTGTTTCCTGAAACATCTTTCCAAGAAGTAATGTTTAACGTCAGATCTTTTCTATAAAACAACTAGAAAATATAATGTAGAAAAATCTGTCAGATAAGAGCAATGTCTGAGATTAGGTGTTACTTCTGAAGCAATTCTGAATCATTTTCCATGTTCTCTTGGATGTCCTCTGTTGTGAGAAGATCTCTCTGCTGTACCTGTCTGAAATGGTTCAGCATGAATGAGCATCAGAAAGGGCTTTGGGATGGCCTGTGGCTGGTCCTCCAAGGTGGAAGGAAGCATTTGGCAGGTCCACAAGCAAACAAAATGCAACTGTCTTGAAATTCTGAGGAAGTATTCACAAGGGCACATGTAAAGAACAGAACAGAGTTCTCTTTTATGTCAATCAAAACATTTCATTTTAATGTCTATGAGTAAAAAGAAATAATTCATAGAAAGAGTTCAAAAATTTCTTTTTTATTTTTTTGAAATGACTGCTAGGAAATCCCCAAATCCCATTAAAAAAAGATAAATTCAAATTAAAATAATAATAATAAAAAAGTAGAATGAGGCTAGGGTTTAATTTATTTATTGTTAAATGAGAATTTTGTCTTGCAAGGGATGAAGTTCTCTTTTCTGACAAAAAAAAAAGAAATGGAGTTGCAAAATTCTATCCTGCTCTGCTCCTCTTTAAGCACTGTGGGTGCACAAGGGTGAGATTACTGTATGACAGCAAAGCTGGGGATGGGAACAGTGTCCAGACCTGGCATGGTTCCCATTGGGAAAGGGATGGGGCTGCTGGGAGATGAGTCGGCTAGGTAAGGCAGCATCCCTATTCCCTTCCCAAACCCAGCTCTGATGTGCTGCTGACAGAGTGTTTTCCCCTAGCAATAACACTACAGTCCTGACACGCATCATGGAGTTTAACCTTTATTTCTCTTTCTGGTGGCTGTAGAACCTGTTTCCTCTTTTGGTGCCTAGTGATGCTCCCTCCTTCCCCCACTACAGGTGTGGTGTTCCCTTACTCCCCACGCCTGGGGCGGTACAACCTGAACTTCCACGAGGCTCAGCGGGCGTGCATGGAGCAGGACTCCGTCGTCGCCTCCTTTGACCAGCTCTACGATGCCTGGAGGTCGGGGCTGGACTGGTGCAATGCTGGCTGGCTCAGCGATGGATCTGTGCAGTACCCTATCACCAAGCCCCGGGAGCCCTGTGGAGGGAAGAACACAGTGCCCGGGGTCAGGAATTACGGGTTCTGGGACAAAGAAAAAAGCCGATACGACGTTTTCTGCTTCACTTCCAACTTCAACGGTAAGAACTTTCTTCACCCCCACCTCACAAATGACTCTTTCTGTGCTTAGGCAAGAAACTCTGCTGGCAGAGAGTGGTATTTGATTTGAAAGAGCTTATGTTGGGCTTGGAAGCTGTTGAATTTACGGGGACACATGTGCAGAGTAATGTCGTCTTTGCCCCGTGCTCACATAGGTCATTTTTACAACTCAAGACTTGTATTGGCAGGAGTGCCTAATATTTCCACTTTCACCCCATTAAAATTTATATGTACCCTTTCAATGTTAATATGTGTCCAGTTTAATTCAGTTAAAGTTATGAAGGAACCTGCGTTAATTAATTTAGTTTTCCTGTTGAGTTCAATTACACTTCAACTCACATTGCTTCAATATATCCCCAAAACAAAATTCATCACTTCCTCTGTACTGCAGTGTCAGGCAGCTCCTGCTCATGTACCAGGTCTAATATGACTAATACTTAATTATCAGAAAATCTTTTTCTAGCTTTATTCCTTAATAACTTAGATTCTTAATCTTAGCACGCTGCCAAAACCCCATTCACTTTTGCTCTGAGGTTGTACTGCTGTAAACCTTATTTTAACAACTGCAAGCTTTTTTTTCTGTTAGTAGTTGTTACTTTATGTATAAAATCAAATTAAATGGCTTGCTCTCAGCTTGCTATCATTTCAGGTTTTATCTAGTGGTTGGAAAGGACTTAGCGTTGCTGTGAATGAGAGCAAGGCTGCAAGTGCACATGTGCACAAGGAGTCTACAATCCTCTACAGCATCCTACTTGTGGATAATTCCTACACAACTTTGCACATGTTTGGCTTGCAGCCCACCCAGACCATGGGATATGCCCTTTTTTTGTTTATGTACAGATTGCTTATTCACAGTGAAGCAGTTTTGTCTACAGCACAGCAAAAAATAAATATAAGCCTTGCTTTCAGAAGATATACTCTAGTGCTAAGTGTGCTCCACTCTTTCTCAAAAAAAAAAAAATATTCCTCAAACCAACAATATTAAATTAGTCTGCTGCATCATTTCATGAGATACTGGCTCATTTTTTTCTTCATTTATCCAAGGTGAAATCCTAAAGGAACTCATCTCCTATATGCAGATTTAACCCTGTACTATAGAAATAGCATTAAGGAATAAAATAATCAGGGAAAAATAATTAAAATATGCTGGCTGCACTATTTATAATGTTCGTGACTACTGCTCACTAGTCACCACTCTTTTACACAGTAGAGGATGGACAGTGTCTCTTAAGGAAAGAGAAATATAATTTCTGGGGGGAAAAAAAAGAAAAAGAAGTATTGACATAAATATTGTCTGTGCAGTGCCACAGCAAAGAGAGAGAAAGAGGGAGAAAGAGGAATGAGGTGAGGATAAGGTATACAGGAAGGAGAACAATCAAAGACAAGACATGTATTTCAACCTTGATAAGTTTGTTAGACTGATGTGCAAGACAGAGCACTACAGAGCAATATAGCTGTCTCCCTTTGTCTCTCACTCTTTCTCTGCCTCTCTCTCTTTATATATATATATAGATATAGATACATTTAAATATATATATATATGTGTGGGTATGTGTGTGTGTGTTCCCCACAACTCAGCGCCATGTCAGTCTCTCAAGAAATCAGCAGAAAATCTGGACTTCTGCTTCTCTCGGTATCCATTTCCTTAACTCACGAGATCACACTGTGCTCACACATCCCTGCTGTGCTCGCCACTATTCATGTCCTAAGCTCACCTCAGTACCTAAAATTAACCCAACCCCTCTCCCAAAAATGCCAGCTCCCTGTTTTCAGCTCAGGACTTTGAATAGCTTAAACATATGTTTAATGGCATATGTTGACTTTCTCAGTGTAAAGGGAAAAGTTTTATAATAACCCATTTTGCCACCGGGCTGGAATTGCCAGTTTCCAAAAATAATGGCTACAGGCAAAAAACCCTATTTCTGCAATAGACAATATTGGTTCTCACAGCTCAGGAACAGCTAAGGAAAATGAGAAGTAGTCAGGAGACCCTGCATTCCCAGCAGTAGCAGTGACTGCTGAAGTGTCCTGATTGTATGAAACAGAGGAGCCTTCAGCTTTATGTAAGGGAGCTGGGAAAATCCCAAGGGCCTCAGGATCAGGGAAGCGTAAGGTGAGCTCGAAAAAAGTGTCAGTTGTAGGAGTTTCTATTAAAAAAAACCAGTCGAGTGAGGTTTAGAATTCCGTTAACTAGGTTCTTTTAGGGAAAGAAATCCCCCCAAAAATTACAGTTTCAGGGATCATTAAAAAAAAAACGAAAAAGAAAAAAAAGGGTTCCATTATAAATAATTCAGCAGTCAAACCAAAAAACTCTTTGTCTGAAATACATGCAAACATATTTTTTACCTGAAGAAGAAATGTAAAAAAGAAGACATATATTTAACCATTAAGGTAAAAAAATGAAACTGTAGTCATCAATGCAGTGAATTCAAATCCAAGCTCAGCGTTTTCACTCTGGAGCTGTTGGATTCCCTCTTTGATGAGCTGGATGCACAAAAACATACTGGTTAAAATGTTTCACCATAATGAAAAATTCTACTTGCATTTCTGCTACCTGCACAGGGAATTTGTTTGAGCAAAACATGTTTACAATGCAATATAAAATAATCTTTTTATTTTATGAAATTACCCTCTACAGTGTCTTTTCTTAGACTAGGCAAATGCAATACTTGTACATTTTGTTCTGCCTGTATAACTGATTTATACTCAAATTTTTCTGTTGTTTCATAGAAGATCTGTCCATGTCCTGTGCCCAAAACAAGGAAAATGTTTCATGCCCTTTAAATCTAGTAGTACTAGCAAATTACCAGTTTTTAAGAATATATAGAGATGTGTTTCACCAAACAATGAAAAGAATAATATTTAGCCTAATGTTATCTATGAAATCCATCAAAATATTGTAAAATAACATGATTTTTTTTCTACCTGCACTGAACAGCAACATTTCTCCATCTGTTTTAACATACCTTGTTTTGATAAAGGCTATTGAAAATTAATATACACAAGTGGGAAGTATCTAACTTAACTGTGAAAATTCCAAAACTGGAATTCTAAAATTCCAAGTTGAAATTTCCTGGTGCCTGAGGACTAAGCTCTGCTCCCTCATAGCTAATTCCTCCTTCTCTTGTCCTTCATAGTGGGAGCCACTATAGTCCATGTTGTCCTTAGGAAAGCTGAAGGTTCCTGACAACCTGCCATAGTCCAAAGTTTTGCCAGGACTGCAGACAACCATAATTTATTTTCCTGCCTTATCCCAAGGAATGGGGGTGTTCCCCTTCCATTCAATTTGGAGGAATAAATGCAGATGAATCCTTTTGTTACAGTCTTCTCCACAGAGCCTAAAAAGCATAGGAAAAGTAATATATAATGGAAGAGCTGAGTGGTTATTCTTTGTTTAGTTTCAAAGGGCTTCTGAAGGAGAACATCTGTTTTTTTTGAAACAGAAACCATGTGAATATTTCACACTGAAAAGTGCTAAATGAGCTAAATGAAAACATATTTATCAGCTCCTCTCTAATTAAGCACTTTCAAAGAAAAAAACCCATAAGGTACAAGTAGAGCTTGCATCACACTTTCTGCTCATTAACATGCATTTTGTTATATACTTTGAAGCCAGAACCATGGTGCATAATTGATCTTCCATCAGCTCTAGGAGAACCAAGTAAAAATCTCATGTTGACAAAGAATACAAAGAATTTAGGGGTCATGTTAAAAGCACCTGTTTTTACAGTAATGCATGGTAAATTCCTCTGTCATTTAAATGGGAGAAAAGTGTGGGAAGTCCTATCTGGATAATGCTTATTTGACCATTGCAGAGTATTTTATTGCTGGGAACATGTAGCCTTTGTTTAAAAAAAGAAACACAAACCCAAAATAAAATTACATACCTTTTATTAGAAGTGGGTGCTTCTAAGTTGGTACTGGAGTATTTAAAAAAAAATATTCCCAGATATTTAATTCAAAATCAGCTGTCTGAGATGAACACTGGATATCAAAATACTTATCAGGTCTTAACCCTGTGTCTTTTTTTCATAAAAAAAACCCCTGACTGATAAACTTCTCAATTTAGAGCTGAGCTTGGAGAAATCTCCAAGGATGGATCATCCCTCAAACTCCCAGTCAAAAGAGTGTGGGGTATTTAGGTCAGTTACTGGAGTTTTCCTGTTTAAGCTGTTCTGCTACATGCAAAAAGCTTAATATAGCTATTCTAAGGGGTTTGATTAGGTTTGCATAAACCCTCTGCCCCATAATTTGGTTGTGAGAAGAAAAAAACAAGCAATGCTATCCTCTGTCAGAGTGACCCAAATGCCAGGTATTAATGAGAGAGAGACAGTTAATTCCTCCCTCTCCCTCCACATCAATTAATAAATACTAAGATTGAACAGCTAGGAGTCCTTCTCACCCGTTATCAGGGGGAAACTGCAAACCTGTATGGAGTTTATTAAAGGAGTATTATGTAATCTGGATACACATTGTACCCCTGTAGAGTTTGCTATTAAATTTCTCTTGTTTAATGAAGGGGCAGAGTATTAGGGTTTTTATTACTGATGTCATATGTCAAAAGCCTGACCTCACTGCAAATCCCTAGAAAATTACATTCCATGGACATATGGTTTGAAGAGGAGCTAATAAGCTAGGTGAAGTCTAGACCCCTGTTCCCCTAAGTCTGAAATCCTATTTGCTTAGCAGAAACCTCTTGATAGCATATCAATAAGAGTTTTCCACTTAAAATTCTCTTTACCTCATAAATTCTCTCAACTTGCTGTGATGGAGTTGGGAAAGTGTTTTACAAAGGGATAGATTATCTGTTCTCAATAGTTTTCTGTAGAAATATTGTAGATTGTCTCTGACAGCAATGAAATTTTTTAAAAGTTTCTCTTCTACCAAAGCTACAATGTAAATACCTTTCGTTAAATTGTTCTTGTCTTGTGTACAATTTCCAACCTTTAGAAACAGTTAATTCAATTATATTGTCATCTAACCTGACTTTCCTGTACTTAGAAAAAACAAACAAACAAAAAAAACTGTGTGTTTTTCACAGGAATCTGAATCTTACACTACTCTTAGCTTGCTCACCACTTTTTTTGTCACTGAGAGAATGATCTCAAACTGAGCAGAGTTCTGTGCATTTGCCTATTTTTTACGAGGCAGAAAAAGGATATTGTTCTGGAATACATTCTTAATTAAGAAGTAAAGAGTGTGCTCTGGAATTAGAATATCCCCACATGAATAAAGTCCTTTTTTTCATCCAACATGCCTCTTCAGGAACAGAGTGAAAAGTGGTGAGTTCATGTGAAAATTATTATACCTTCAAAAAAACTCACTATTCCTCTGCAATCCACTTTGTGTCAAATCAGTGATGATAAATAACTCCAGGTATAATGAATTAAATGCTTACAATGAATGTTTATTACCTTGATAAATGAAATCAATATTATTGCTGCTTATGGATTAGTAGGGGAGACTTTTTGAACTTTATTTGCTGGCATATATTTTAATTATCTCGAGACAGAGGCACATTTTTCTTAGTAGCACTATCAGTTCAGTGTTGTGTTACAGTGAGCATGTACCCTTTGGTGCCTAAAGAGAAACAGAGCTGCAGAACTGCTGATGTAGTCTTTCAACAGGCATGATTTTGCTCTAGCATGGGCTCAAATTCTCCTTCAGAGAAGCTGTTCAATACCTTGGCCTTTTTACAAAAAAAAAAAAAACCAAAAAAAAACCCACCAAAAAAAGAAAACAGAACAGAACAAAACAAAACAAAAAAAAACCAAAACAAAAAAAAACCCACAGCCCCCCCCCCCAAAAAAAACCCACCAAAAAGCAAGAAACAAAATAAAATAAATTGTTTTTAATCAGAAACAAGGTCACCACCTTGTTAGAGAGCAGATGATGTGTTGCTTTCAGCCACCCACCCTCACATGCTATCAAAGGCTAGATCTTGCTGTCAAGAGGAAAACTCACAAGTATTTTTGCTATTTCAAGCTAATACTGAGATCATAACATAGACTGCTTTGGGTATTTCTGATTTCCCTCCCTGACAGTAAAGTACAGCTGTAGGAGATCTGCTCTGCCTGAAAGCTACAGGGTTCCTCAGATGCTTCACTGCTCTGTCATCGTCATCATGTTAGAAATGCATCCAGGACCATAAAGTTAAATGCAGAGCAGGGTCCCTCAGCCAAATCTCGCCATCCTTCTTCCCTGATATTTTTCTTTCTGTTTTTTATACCTCTGAGGGTGAAAATCACAGAATCAGAGAATGGTTTGGGTCAGAAGGGATCTTAAATCTCACCTGGTTCCAAATTCTCCACCATGGGCAGGGCCAATTCCTACTAGACCAGGTTGCTCAGAGCCCCACCTAATGCAGTTTTGAACACTTCCAGGGATGAACAGTTCAGTTACCATTGGGCATAAGTACAGATGCGGGATCCCATCAGTATGGGGGATGCCATACGGTATGGGGATGCCATACTTTGATACCAGCAGAAATAAACATAACCTGCATTTTTTTTTCATTCAAATAGTCTGTTTTCTGTACCTAGGTTAGTTTTTTCACTTTTTCCTTTTTTTACTCCTGATATTTATCAACTCACCATAAAAAAATCACAACATTTTTAACAGCGCAGCATCCAAACAGCACAGTCCAAAATCAAGCACTGTTTGACATGATTCTTCAGTGGAACATCTCCACTTCTCCTCAAAAGTCACTGTGCATTATCAACATCACTGTACTCATAGAATTGTTGCCTAAAATCAACTCTTAAAGAGACCTCTAAGATTCAGTTTGTGAGTTTTAGAAGTCAGGCATTCTGTATTTCATCATACTGGGCGCACTGGCAATCATTTTGCCAAATTCATATGTCTCAGCTACAGCTGATATGTCAGCATTACATGATTATTCATTTTGGTTCCCTGCATTCCTGTTACATACTCATGACTTTTCCCAATACTTCTTAGCATATATACACTTGTTGGGTCTCTGAGGGGCTTCATCGAGGGTCTCTGGTGGCCGTGGCTGTCTAGAGCCCCCAAAATTCTAAGTTTGGGGGCCAACATTAAGTTCTTAGACCAATTCTTAAGTTCTAAGAGTAAATTGACTCTTAAGTTCTAAGACAGACTTCTTCTGTAAGATAGTACTCTTGGTTATAGAGCAACTTGGTGTTGCTTGGTTGCTTTGGTTCCCTTCTTCATTGTTTCTTTACTTTTCTTGGCTGGTTTCTTTAAATCACTTGTCTCAGCTATACATAATTTTCCATAGTACATTCTTTTGCAAACAACATTAGTTCTTGTGACATCTCTAAATCCAGATATAAGAATCATTGCCTCATTGACTCATTAAGACTCATTGAGATCACCAAGCCCAACCTTCACACCGCCAACACCTCTGATAATGCCTTAAGAATCTTAAGATTTGTAGCTTGTAGATTTTTAATATAGCTGTATTATAGATTCAAACACTTTAAAATAGCAGTTAGCAGCTACTAAAACCCTTTTCTCAAGTTTTGTGCCAAATTCTTGAAATTCTTCAAGTTTTTGTTTAACATTCTTTTCAAGGAAAAAGATTTTAACGAGTACATCTTGTCTGGGACAGACATGTACCTAGAAAGATATAATAAGGTATCGTTGTAGTTAAAGCAACCTATAAGGCCTGGAAAACTTGGAGAAGATCCAAAGAAGGCTGAAGATGATGATGGTGGAGAAGGAAGGGGTCTTGAGATCTCCGGCTTAATTCTGGGGAGGGACAGACCTGAGGGAGGTTCTGGGGGCAGACAATTTTCAGGGTGGAGGTATCCATTAGATATGATAACTGATTAGTGCTACAAAATTGTAGGAGCCCTATGCTGTATCGTGGCATCACCTCTTTCCCTTCTTTCCCCCTGCCAGGCCGTTTTTACTACCTGATCCACCCGATCAAGCTGACGTACGACGAGGCTGTGCAGGCGTGCCTGAAGGACGGGGCCCAGATCGCCAAGGTGGGGCAGATTTTCGCCGCCTGGAAGCTGCTGGGGTATGACCGGTGCGACGCGGGGTGGCTGGCAGATGGCAGCGTGCGCTACCCCATCTCCCGGCCCCGCAAGCGCTGCAGCCCCAGCGAGGCCGCCGTGCGCTTCGTCGGCTTCCCTGACAAGAAGCACAAGCTGTACGGGGTCTACTGCTTCAGGGCCTACAACTGAAAGATATAAAAACCCCTAGAGCACGGAAAAGTCTTTAAAAAAGTCATCAGGAACGTGTTTGAAAGATTTTATTTTTTTTTGTATGAACTCATGCAAGTTTGCCAAAACTGTGATAAACCTCTTTTACTTATTGTGAAGAGTTGTTTTCATAAACTCAACCCATTAATCTGTTTGTTTTTTCAGTTTGTTTAGTTTTTGGTTTTGGTTTGTTTTTTTTTTTTAATGTTAGTGTTTTTGTAAAAATATCATTCCATAGCTATTTTAAATTAATATAATTTAATGGAAGCTCTAGGTAAGGAACTTTTAGATTCAAATTCTTTATGGCTACATCATCCCAACAAATTTTTTTCTTTTTTTTTTTTGTGAATGGGGCATGCAATAGAGCTTGAACAATTGCTAGGGCACAATTATGGAGTGTAAGGCTACTCAAAGCAGAAGCTTTTAAAAGCACAGATTTTACATATTTGTACTAGTTTGAGAAACACTGCAAATTGATTATATCAGGAATTTTAACGTAAGATAATCTTTTTGTTAAAGGGGATCAGTGAGGTTTCGCAGAGAAACCTCACAAAAATATATGTTAGCAAATAACTGTTTTCACTGGTTCACATGGGAACAAAAGAGAGTTTAACAAAAGCAGCTAAAACAGTCCACCAAAATAGGACTAGTTTTACAATTTAAAATCTTGCCTTTCTAAAAATAAGCTTGTGATCCCATGTATAGGAAGAAGCACAATTAGTTCTCCTGAACGTTTCAATTGTGGTTTCGTTGTGTATAAATAAATGAGTGAATAATTACTAATGAGAAAACCCTGTTTTCTTCTTAACTTCGATTAAAGATGCCTGAGAAGTGTTGTATTACCTTTGAGTAGCTTTACTGAGCTATTTTTAAACTCTTAAAGGCCATTTGCTAAGCAGCATAATAGCATCTACTCAGGGCAGTTGTATAAATGAACTGCTGGACAGAGAAATTGTAAACTTTAGCAGCTTGATTTTACATTAACCTTTGAAATGTTATTGTCTTAATGGAAGAACATTAAAATATTTAATATTTCTCAGTTATTTACACATCACAGGAAATAAAAATTAGAAAAATATTTTCGATTATGAAGTCTTAAACCAACACTATTAAATAAAATCTGAAACCAGACATCAAGTTTTAGAAGAGAAACACTTCATTTCCTCACATCTTATTTCTATCTAAAGAGTACATCTGTTTTTTAAACTATCAATGAAAAATAAAAATAGTATTGCTAGCCCTGAATTATTTAGTTAGTCCTCCTTAGAGTTAACAAAAAATAGAACTATTGAAATGCTTCTTTTCACTAAATCTGCAGTGGTCTAGGAGGAAGATGTTTACCTATATCTACCAGTGTCAAAGATAAACATTCACTGAGCATGGTGCCTAGGATTTTCAGAGCTGCCTAAAGCACTAGGTCCTCCCTAAATAACAGTTTGAGGGAATTTGGATTTCTAATGCAAACCTGTTTTGGGATGCAGCAATTCTTGGTGCTCATCTTCAGATACCTTAATGCAACCAGTTTTTCAGAGAGCAGGTGCTCAACGCTTTCTGAAAATTTACTCCACTTATGGTGTCTCAAGCTGGATATCCAAAAAAAAAGAAAAAAAAAGAAAAAAAAACCAACAAAACAAAACAAAAAAGAGGCCACTGACTGAAAGTATCTTGGTCTTGGGTAATCTCTTAAGCAGTTTTTGATGTTCTCTATCCAGTGTTGCTTCTACCACTTAAAAATGGAGAACTCTTTTTCCTACTCTATGCTTGCTGACTATGAAGATTTCAGAGGACCAACATTTGTATTTACGCAAAGTTTTGTAGCTTCCCATTGTTTTCATATTTAAATGAGAATATAGTGGTATTTATCCAAGTAGGACAAAACCTGTATACTATCATGAATGGTTTGGTGTAGTTATTTTCCCATGGACGTGAGCAAATAAATCTCTTTCCCAGAGTAGTTGTGGTCCTGTTTTAAAATTCTGTGAACAAACCAGGAGCAACATATGGAAAGGGGCCATAGGGTAAGAGACAATTTATTGGAGTTCCTTCCCATCGAGCTCAGAGGCAAATTTCCATCCTTCTGAGGACATTTGCATCCTCTGTGGACATTTCCTCACATTGTACAGATGGAGCAATCTCAGTGCCAACCCCCCACTTTTTGTAATCCACTAGGAATTGGATTTCCTTGAAACATTCTCCCTTATCTATAAATAGAGACTTACTGTAGGTTAAGCCCCCCAAACCATGTAATCTTTTTTTGAACAGCCTTTTTTTAAATCAGTGTCCATTTCACACGTTTTGTCAGGCCTTTCAGAACCTTTTCTGAACTGTTTGAAGTAACCAGTGGAAATGGAAAGAGAAATGTCAAATATACAACCAGGATAATGAAGGGGGTTTCAAGAGTGGACCATGGCCACAAGGAATACATGTTATTCCCCCATCCAACCTTCAGAGAATTGGAAAAAAGACAGACTATTCCATAGTTCTTTTCTGAAGCTTGGACAGGGCAGTTATGGGATGGGAAAAGCTGTAGAGAATGTCCCAGTAGTTACCCCAGCTAGATCCAGACCTCCTGTAGAGAGGGGAGCCTTCTGCAGCTGGCTCTATCCTCCCTAAACTCCTGCTAGGTCTGGAGGAGGCTGCATGGCTGTCTTATTGCACAGAGGTGAAGAGACTTTCATGAAATTTATTTGTTTCCTTATTTTTTTTACCTCTCCAAGGAAATCCCTTGCTGGGTTTTTCACGCAGACACATCTTGTCTTCTTTTTTTTTTTTTTTTTTTTTTTTTTTTTTTTTAAGCAGGAATGGGGATTATATTTTGCCTGCATTAAAAAAAAAAACCATAAAATGAAATGTATACACCCAACCCCCTTAGTGGGGCTGGCTGAAGTGCCCTCACTGCTAGACCAAAGGCACTGCGGGAAAGGCAACTTCAGCCTTTCCACCAACTCTGCAATGCTCTGGAGATGGCCGGTCAGGTCCTAAAATCACAGCAATCTCAGGCTTGCTCTAGCTTAATGCTTCCTGTGTCCACACCTTCCCAGGGCTGCCGCTGTGACAGCCCCGTGTGTAGCATCCCCCTCAAAACTTACCCTTGCTTTGTGCACCCCCCCAAAAAAAACCAGGCCGGTTGCTGAGCAGGCTCTGCACCACCCAGGTGATCTACCTCCAGCTTGGCAGCACAAGGGTTTAGGTCTGCAGAGAGGCGCTGAGCTGGTGTGTGCGTGGTCACAGAAACGGCCAATTTTATTTCATTTAATGCCTGTAAAGGCTGCGTCGGAAGATGTTGCTTGTAGGAATCACGTGTCCATGTACGAAGTCATAGCTTGTGAACTCACATCACGTTGCTTAGGAGGTGCTCAGTAGTTCTAAATTGGGACCAGACCGGGCTAGGTTTAGGTCTGTGTGTTAATATACAGCATTACATATCGCTACAACACATACAGATAATTGGGTAATCTGATGAAAATATGTTTGTATAAAGAAAAAAATAAGCATGAAAAAATAATTAGTAATGTAAACAGGTATAAAAACAATAAAAATGTGTATGATTACCTGAGAAGTGGGCACACATAGACAAAAAAAGACACGAATTATATTTATATTTTACAGCTACTGACTCCATTTCCTTTTGTAATGTCAAATGTCAGGAATTTTTTCTTCTTTTGGACTAAGCTAGCTAGGTGCTTGAATAAAAACCTCAAAAAGCAGCTTAAGAACTGGGTAAAAGTCTGTGCTATTTTATGTTAATAAGAGAGTATCGTTAGTATCATGTTCTCTGTCGTTATCTTCTATTTCTCAATGTATCAGAATTTTAATGCCCATGAATTAACAACAATTAAACCACGTTATTCTTTTCAGTGTGACGATTTCTCCTTATTGACTGACTGTTGCAGAACATACAAAAAGGAAATTAATAGATCAAAGTATGAAAATACTTACCTTACCATAGTAATGATTACAAGACTATGGGGGATGGGGGAAAGACTACTCTGTGAATATGATTTACAGAGAAAATAAAGAGATATGTATTCCAAATCCTTTGTTTTATGCTTCTTTGAAGCATTTTTAAAGTACAAATACAAGTACCAATTTCTTCGTGTTCTCTGCCATCTTTTAAAATAAAATAAAGCATAAGTAAGGAGGGTATTTTTTTCATTATTATTTTTATTTTTACAGCTGATGTTACACTGCATATGCATCACTAGAAATTGGATGTAGAATAGTGTTTCATGTATGGTAAGATTTATTAAATTATTTTATAACCTTCCAGACTCAGAAATGGAAACCCAACAAAAAATCACTCTTTGTAATGTGAAGCAAGAAAGATTTCCAGTGTCAAGCAAAGAATTAATTATTCAAAGCACTGGGCCAACTTTTGGGCTTCTGCAATCACACTATTTCTGCATTTTTTTATTGATCTGTGCCAGAAAGTTAACCCAGAAAGTTATCTGCACTGCACCACTTCACTGGGAAATACTAATATTCCAGAAGGCTTCCATGTATTGGTCACACTTAAAAACAGGGGAAAAAGCTTTGGAAAATTTGTCACTCAGAGTAAGTATGTTATCATTATAATGTGTTATCATTAATACATGGTTGAGAAGACCAATCTTTATTTTCTAGCAATTTAGTTAAAACAATTCTCAAAACTATTACAATTTTCAATTCACAACACTACTAAAACTGCCTCAGGTAGAAACAGTCACTCAATCATTACAATTTTAATTAATAGTATCAGCTTCCATTCAATGACATCTCACTATTCAAAACAGAGTGACTCTCGTCATACCTGGAAGTGGCTGGATTTACAGCTTGATGTAACTACCTCAAAGCCAGAAATGTGTAGATTTTCACCTAAATACTTAGCAAATTAAATAGTATTTGCCATCTTCTTTAACCATTCACTCATTTAATCAAGAATGATACCAGCAGCTTTCTGTTAAAAAAAAATTTGTTCTTCTTGTAAGTGTTAAGGTGATTCTTTCACATTTTCTAGCCATTTTCTCCCTTTTTCAATTATAAAAGATGAACAAATATGCTACGGAGCAGTAACATTCCAATTCCAGGTGATGTGCTACATAAAAAAGACAAGATTTCCCTTGGTTTCAAATTAAAAATGATAACAACCCCCCCCAAATTAACAAAAGCCACCTCAAAACCAAACCAACAACTGCCCCTGCACACAAACAGTATTAGTTTCAAGAGAAAGGCAAGATGAACTAATGAAAAGTGATTACTGCTGAAAATTAATAACAACTACTGTCAAATAATTAATCCTCTTCCCATGCCAGGAATAGGGATGGCCTCTTTAAAACAGGGATGTCCTGTAAAGTTCTTTAAGAAGAACAAGAAAAGGCAATACATCAACTCTTGATCTTTCAGGGTTTGTTATATTTTGCCTAATAATCACCAAGCCACAGGTCTAAAAATATAATTTAAAAAAAAAAAAACCAAAACCAAAACAAACAACAGATTTATAATAAACCAAGGGTTTGGAAGGGATTGCTGCTGCTTCTTTGCTAAGCCTCAATCCAAAACTGGAAATTCTTGTTAAAAGTCTGTTGAGTTTTTTTCCCTTTTTTTTTTTTTTTTTAAACCTGAGAATGTCTCAATGTCTCAATCCATAAAACCACAACAGGGTAAAACCGATCTATTCCTTCAATATTGTACCAGAGGCAAACAATTGTTTTTTCTAATAATAACAGCCTTAACAGAGGCCTCAGCTAATGCATTATGCACTGGCATATTTTCTAGTGTGTCCAGTGGGTATTTAATGGATTCAGTTTTTTTATTTTTTTAAAATGACAGCAAACAAACCCAAAATGGCATGTCTTGATACAGTTTGAATAAGAAAAATCTAGGGTTTATCCTTTACTTTAAAGATGCATTGTAAGGCATTTCAGCTCCTTCCTTCCTACTCTGGTGTTCACTGTGCTTACATGCGTGATGCTGTTGGCTTAATTTCATCCTGATTTCTTTAATAGATAGAAGACAATCAAGTTTCTTGTTTTCTTTTATTTAGGGAAATCAGATTTAAAAATTTTTACTTCCAGCAAAAACACAAGGTAGACAAATTGAGAATTCCTCTATCACCAGAACTGGCTTTTGAATCCATATCTACCCTTTACCATTAATTAAAAAAAAAAAAAATCAGCATAAATTTATATTCTGTGTTACCAAGCATGACCCATAAGTGACTATTCCATTTCCTGACTTTCAAGGATTTTTTTTATGTTTTACTTCTTTGCTAGTGTTTATTTTCACCCGAAACAAGAAAACCAGACGTCAGAAAAACATACCACACGAAAACCAGAGGGAAAGGATGACAGGAAGAACCCAGCAACTCTTCTGTCATGTTGACTTTCATTTATATGTTATTTATGGTCTCTAGTGGAAAAAATACTTAAACTGATCACTTGACTCTGCTTAGCTCTTCCTTGAACTTAAACATCTGCTAGTCAAGTGTTTTAAAATTTGTGAATATTACAAAAAGAAGAGTGATTTATTTATTTAGATGACAGTTTAAATGCTGTGCACATAGGCTAAGGTCAGCTACATATGTAAATTAAGAAAAACACTATTAATTGAAGGTTATGAAGTGTATCTTCTGATCACCTCCACTTCTTGCCTTCTGACTTGTTTTATTTGGTAATTTTGGTGGGTGTGATTTGGGTTCCCTTTCGAGGAAACTAAACTTGAAGTTCAGGGTGAGGTGGAAATCAAATGCATCCCATCCAGGAGGAGAATATAGGGGTCTGAACTACTGCTAAAGCCTTCAGACACCTTTGAACCACATCTATAGGGTGGATTTATGTTTTGGAGTCCAAACTAAAGTCCAACCTGATGAAAAAAAGCCCTATAACAGGATTGAGAGTGGCTTTAGGCTCCTCAGAGAGTCCCAACCCAAACTGCAACACCAAACTGCAATCACACTGTTTTCATCAAGTCATTATTACATCCTAATCAGCTCCAAAAGAACCAGGCCATCTGTTTTCTGTTCATCTATTACAGGAAGTCAACAATACATTTCTTTGTTTGGTGATCAATGCAGCACAGCATTATCAGCATGCACCGAGCCTTGCTTTTGGGCAAAGCCACTTAAAATAACATTTTTTGCTGTTACTGGCTGCAATCAGGTATAGCTGAGCTGTACTGCATCATCTTGCCTCAGGGGAGTTTTTTTGGGATATTTAGTTCTGGAAAAATACAGTACTCAGCACAAAACTAACATCTCGGGTATTTTTAACCCTTCTTCTCATTTCTCTGCATCTACATTCTATAGTAATATCTTCAACTTTATTACACCAAGAGGTGACATCCTAATGTGCAAACATATCCTGAAAGAAACACTATGAAAAAGAGCTATGAAAAAGGCTTTCAATTCCCACAGCTTCTCCAAACATCACATTTTCTCAAGGATAGTTATCATAAAAGGAGTGCATCAAGGATTGCACTAGGAAAAACTATCTTTCCCATTGTTTTAAAACATGACCTTCAAGGCTAAATACTTCCAGGAAAATTGGTATCTACATTCACAAATCTCAAAAAA